GGGATGAGGGAATCTTCCAAAGAAAGGAAGGAAGTAATCAATTTGAAAATAAGTAACTCTATACATGGATGTGTAGATCATGCAAAGAAGTAACTTTCAGACACAAACTGAAAGAAAGTTATCAGAGAATGTAGTAATTTGTTAAAGTCAACTGCAATTTATTAAAAACAAAATTACCGCTTTAACGAATGGAACTTCGCGAGTTTTTTCACCGAAATGTCCTTGATGATTTCTCTGAAATCTAGTTGACCTGTCAAAATTTGGATGTTTTTTATATCTTTCATTATTATGGTGGCCCTTCTCCTGTGGAGACCCAGGTGCATTAACCCCGTTTGCCCTCTCCTAAACCCGGCCCTTCACGGTATACATCAGATATGGCTGAAAAGTTTGTTTTGATGCTGCAAATATATTTTTGTGGAACAGGATGACAAAATGACTGTTTTTTTTTAGTGTTTGCTTTGCAGAGTTTGAATAACTACCACAGTCAGGTCCTGAAACCGGTGGCTTTCAAACTAGCTGAAAGTGGGTTGGTGTTCTTTATTGGACGTAGAATGATAATTTCCTGCTAGAGAATATATCATCTTTACGCGGCAAATCGTGAAGATGAAAAGCACCATTTCACATAGTACTCCCTCAAAAAAATAATTTTTCGAGAGAGTAATATGGACGAAATCTTTGGAATATCTGGAAATAATCTATTTGTCCTCTTTTTAGAAGGTATTCGTCGTTTCGACAGTCAAGGTACTACAACTGTCGCTGAAATGAAACAAATTGTGTCTCAATATTGTCTATTAGCACATTTTACATAACAGCTAAAATATTATGATTATTTTACATGAACGTTAGTGAGAAATATCATACTAAATCACATCACAAATTGGTAACTAAACTACAAAATTAAGTGTACGCTACATTGTTATTTACAAAAAATAATCGAAAGTAATTCTATGTGTATATGTTACGGGCAACGTGATTACCTGGGCATTATCAATAAGGACCGACCATTATTAATAATGCCCAAGAGCGATGGGCAAAGTCATTAATTTATCACTTTGACCGGCCATTATCAATAATACCCGACNATTATTTTTCAAAAATGCAATCTCTCTTTCTTTTACTGGAGATGTGGTATCTGGGAATTGGATACCTACTCATATACGAGCATGGTTTTGTCTTTTAAACTAGCATATTGCAAACCATGTAATCTCATAATTCATTGCTTCTGTGATTTTAATTTCAATTTCTTCGAAAACATGAGATGAAGAATCTTGGTGCAATATTTTTCAGTTCGTAATTAAATTTAGTTCAGTTACTCGATGCCTATTTGAAATCCCATTGAAATAAAATATGTTTACAAAGATGTTCAGTTCAGTTACTCGATGCTCATTTAGAAGATCTTGTTATCCCATTGAACTGAAATATTTTCAGAAAGATGTTTTGATTAAGATTAAAATATTCAAGAATACACCAACTTCAGAGCTACAATAACTCATATTCTGGAGGACAAATAAATAGTGATAAATGTTTACTTCTAATAAAAATAACACCGTTGGTGTTATTTTTATATGGCTTAACATTTTTTCCAATGAACTTTGTAGATCTTTCCTTGGGTAATGTTCCACTGATGAGTATATTTATATATGCACTACCATGGACTATTCGAGAAATATTGATACTATATACATCTCAGTATCTTTATGTACACGAAATATTCTCCATTTTACGTTGAAGATTCTTTAGAAGTACTAGGCCCGACATTAGCATCCCCAGCTTCGTGCTTCCTCTGCAACGCTTGAAAACTGAGCGGCGGAAGAAGTGGAAAGTTTAAACCGGCTCCGGCCAAACCGGCAGCCTGCTGGAAGTTCGCTACGTGTTGTAGGCTCTGCAGCAAAGCTGCGGAATGTTCCTGTGCTTTCCGTCTCAGCTCCGCTACGCTGGACGATCTGTGGTCGCCTCCTGGTGATATTTCAGATGCCTCCGAAGTTGGCAACAACGACGATCCTAGAGCACTCATTGGTTTTATAGGACAACAAGAGCAGAGGCCTGGGAATCCTGAAATAGAAGAAGAATTAAATTTTAATTCACATTATTTTTTCTCGAGAATTTTGCTTATATGCCCGTGCCATTTTTCGGTAAGCAATTTTGATGTGTTGTGAAGTAAATTCGAGAAACTAGTTTGAAGTCCCGCAAAGATACAGACTGAATGAATGGTATCTACGCCGGTTGAAGGCCGGATTTCCGCGTCATTCAGCTTAGGCAGAACAAGACATTCGTCCTTTGGGAGATGTATACGCCGGCTCAAGGCCGGATTGAAGAAGAATTCACGGATCAATCAAGGTATTAGTTTCTTGAAACGTGTCTACGCCGGTTGAAGGTCTGATTGAGGACGGATTCCCGCATCTTCCAAGGAAAGGCGAAACAGATAAAGCTTGGCTATCGGCATTGAGAACCATAGTAAAAATTATTCATTAATATATAAGTTCAAACAATTTCAAATATTAGTGCTTCTAATGACTAATATATTTTAAAACAATATTGCTCAGTGAGCCGCTGTGATAAATATGTCTCGTAAAATGCACATCTTTCCAGGAATTGAAGGAATGAAATAATGAATCTATCAGCGGAATGTGCTTCTGCAGTGAATATTTCATCTGTCATCTGAGATGATTTTTGTATGTATATAAAATATTTCCATTTGTGGACTATGAAATATCAAATCTATTTTGTTTTTCCTTAGTTTTGCATTGATGATGGTGCCATCTAGTGGCAATAGTTCCTGGGCTACTTTCATTGGGTATGCTTTCAAATAAGATGCATTACTCATATTCTTATTGCATGCATCTTTGAAAGATTTCGAGAAAAGAGAAGACGCTATGGGCCACAGTAATAGAAGATTCAATAGGTAATAGTTTATTTTTGTATGCGAATGGGAAAGGTTAACGTAATAAATGAATGAGAAAGTTATACCTATCAGAGGTATTTCTGTATAACATATAAAGAAACCAAACAATCTTTATACTCCTGAAGATGCCACTCGAATTATCATATAACACCTGGGATGAAAAGTCCCAGGCCTGAGCAAAAAAAAACGCTTGATCCATCGAAGTTATCTCCATCAAGAACCACACAATCATACCAGAGCCGCTCTAACCACTTTCGTAGAACGATTTATCTTTTGCCTCAAAATAGGCATCAGTTTCAGCAATAACCTCTTCATTCGAGCAAAATTTCTTACCGGTGAGCATTTTTTGAATTCTGCGCTGGGAGCCAAATCTGGAGAATACGGTGGATATGGGAGCAATTCGAAGTTTAATCCATGTAGTATTGCCTTCGTTTTCATTGATTTGTGATGTGGTGCATTCTCTTGATGAAACAATTTTAATTCTCTGCCATATGCGGTTGTTTTTTTTGCAATTACGGCCTTCAAACGCACCAATAACGCTATATAATATTCACTGTTGATGGTATTTCCTTTCTCAAGATAGTCGCTGAATATTACACCACGCACATCCCAAAATACTGAGGCCATAACCTTTCCACCCGATTGTTGTGCATGCATGGCTAAACACTGCTTAGAATCATCAAAACGTTCTTGTTTTTGGTCAACAGTGAGCTTGCGCGGCAACCACTTTGCTCAGAGCTTTCTCATAGTCAAATGCTCATGCAGTATATAGCCAACACGTTCTTTTGATACCTTTACAATTTCAGCTAACACACGCAATTTCACTTTTCGATCATCCAAGATGATTTTGTGGATTTTTTCATGTTTTCTGGTGTTACTGCTTCATTTGAACGTCCTCTGCGTTCTGCATCATCGGTCTCTCTACGACTACGTTTGAAGTCAGCAAACCAACGTTCAATTACTGTTTCTGATGGAGCAGAATCCTCATAACACATTTCAAGCCATTACTTCGAATGAATGATATTTTTTTCATTAAGAATCAGTGTGAAATTAAAACACAAAATTGTGGCTGATTCATTGTTTCGAAAATGACAAAAGTAGTGTAACTTTTACCACAATAAATCACAAATCTATGAGTAGAATATAAGGCAATTATGCTTTTTTGAAGGTAAGTAATCACAGAAAAAGCGGTGAATGCAGTAATACTATCTATTACGCACGAAAGTTGCGTTTGGATGTATTCCTTGCTCCGCAAGACTTTGATAGCTCTTCCATCACCTCATAACTAAGATTTATCTTCAAATCCAGCAACGAATTACATTATCTCGTTCCGTTTATACAGCGCAGGGTTTCTATCCACTTATAAGCGGCACATTTTGCCAATTTTCCAACATTTTGCACCTGAGATCTCTCAAATTTATTAGGCACATGATTTCAACCTTTGATATGATTAAGAAAGAACCCTGACGTAATTTATGAGAGAATTTCCATGAGTTATTGAATCGTGGTAACAAAATTTTAGTTTTCATTACGAAGAAAAATGTGTTGAGCAGTTTTGAACTGAAAGGAAAATTATAGTAGACTAGAAATGGATTGGTGTCGAAATAACTTCGACGTTGAAAAGCTGTGAAGAACCGTGTTAGGAATCACACGTTGAAAAGTAAGACCTCGTTAGTACTTAGCTCGTACAAGTTTCGACTTCTGAGGGTTGTCGTTCGTAGGAGTGCTGGTTAACGAAAGAAACATCTTTTTTTTAACTATTATTAAGGATTCATGCGAATTTGTTAGGAATATTCCATAGGAACAACAAATAGAAACTTTGCTAGGAATTTTACGATAAAGGGTAAGATCTAAGCATAATGAACGTGTTTAGACTTTTGATGCCGTTTGTCAACTGACAAAAACATATTTTCAAGGAGCGCCTTAAGGAAAATCCTTAAGGCGCTCTCAGAGCGGTGCCTGTGCGGAAGTAGCGATTCACATTGGATTTGAATCGCTGGAGATCAAATTCATTTGGAAAAACCTTTTCAGGAAGTTTATTCCACATGAACACAGTTCTTCAGATGAAAGAGTTCTTTAATAGTGAAGTAAGAGGTGTACTGAGTTGAACCTCAAAACGATGAGCAGCCACAGTTCGCCGCGTGTTTTTGATATGTACCGCTCTTGGTGGAATCGAGTGTGCCAAGTCACTTGAACACTTCCCGTGAAAGTATTTATAGAAGAGGGACAAATCTCCAACCTTTCTTCGATGTTCCAGGCTATCAAGGTTGCACTGGATGGACGCTCAATATATTTAACAGAAGCAAATATAGATGAAGTTGAAGAAATAATTAACAACTTAAAAAAACACCAAGCACCAGAAAAAGATGAAATATCAGTAGAAGTTCTGCAGCATATTAAAGAGCCACTAACACTGCTCATCAATAAAATACTAACGACAGGATATTGGCCTAAATCTTTAAAGACGACAGTTATTAAACCCATTTTTAAAAAAGGAGAGAAATTCTAGACAAGTTGGATGGTCACGGACCATGCAGAGAAGGGGATCCGAACTCCTAACGACTTTACAGGCTGTATCCAGTACCATTCTGTCATGTAGACACTCCAAACTCAAAAGTCCACGACCTCCCTGTTGTCGGGGGAAGTACAACCGTGGAACGGACGATTTGGGATGCAAACTCCTATAGAAATGCATCATTTTTCGGGTCTTTACGTCGAGTTGATACAGGTCCTCCCGAGTCCACTTCACTACTCCAAACGAGTAGAGTAAGTTTGGAACGGCAAGCATATTTGTTGCAGCAACTTTGTTCTTTCCCGACAGTTCCGATGACCAGATCTGTCGAAGTTTGTGCTGATACTTGCCGCGGAGAGAGTTTTTCACTGCAGTTACCTCTTGTGAGTGGCGTTGTTCCACCCCGAGGTAAGTATACGTCTCTCCGGCATCCAGATGGTGTAGTATGCTTCCATCTACGAGCTGCACATTCTCTCCGTAGTCCCCGCATCGTCCTCTTTTGAGATGAACCATTGCACATTTGTCTATCCCGAATTTCATACCGATAGCATGCGTGTACTCTTCCACCACCCTCAAAGACATTATTATTATTATTAATCCAGCAACTTCAGGGTATGTTTGGGGGCAGAGCTCCATACATGAGAACAATAATTCAAAAGTTGCTGAGGTGTGGGAAGTTTTCTGGTTCGGACCAGTGTTCCAAGCTTTTGAGAAGCAGTCTTTGCAATTCCAGCGACATGATAGTGCCAAGACATATTGGTGCCTATTGTAACCCCCATCAAACTTATCGAAGCGGAAAGCGTAATTGTCAGACCTGACATTATTATATCGGGTTCGCATTTATCTTTTTGGAGAAAACCGATGCCTGGGTTTTTGTGGCATTGAATTGAACCTGGTTACTTTCACCCCAATTCGAAATCACTTCTAGATCCTCATTAAGATATGCAACCTCCTTCTGCCTGTGAATATGTGCCCCCGTAGCCGATGTCATGGAATCTAAATGGAATAACGAGACAAGAACATTCTTTAAAATGGGGAACGTCATCTTTCAAACCTGGGGTGTACTCAGCTGTTAGTCAGTAATAGACAGAAATATCTTGATATTTCAAGTACTTGGGATGGTGAAGAACGTTTATCATCAGTTCTCATCATCCACAGTCGTCTGGGTTAGAAATACTTTTAGAGGAAGTAGAATCATAGAAATTGAATAGTATAAGCTCCAGCATGGAAACTTGTGGTACCCTAGATCTGATTTGAAGATATTAAAAAAAGGTCCTACTTTGTAAGTGTTGTTATTCCATAGTCGATTTATTTTTATGATAATAATTTTTTATTTTTAAACCATATAATTGATGTTTTTTATATATACATGTATACGTAAATTTGTGTTGTTGACATGTCCTTGTTCAATGTAATGATGTAACTGAAATATTGACGTTTTTAATCATTGATGTAACCTTCATGCATTCAAATGATGAAATAGGGGAAAAAGATCCTACTTAGTAAGTGTTGTTACTTCATAGACGATTTCTTTTTATGATAATAATTTTTTATTTTTAAACCATATAATTGATGTTTTTTATATATACATGTATACGTAAATTTGTATTGTTGACATGTCCTTGTTCGATATAATGATGTAACTGAAATATTGACGTTTTTAATCATTGATGTAACCTTCATGCATTCAAATGATAAAATAAAGAAATATTATTATTATTATTTCATTATAGTAAACGTGTACAAAAAAATGTTTCCTCTAGTTTTCTTACCTTTGAGTGTGGGGAACAATGGCGGTGAAAACTGTGAAGAGAGATGTGAGGCAAGATGTGGTGAGAAAAATAACGGTGGTGTATTTCTTGTGCCTGAACCACCATCCATAACTGGTCTGAAGCCTCCTGTTGTCCTGAAAGAAAAAATATTGATCAGAAAAAAATTATGAAATTGATTGGGAGAGGAATTGCTATTTGCATTTTCAAAATAATATCGCTCTATGGTTGGAGCAATAAAAGCCGCTGTTCCTTATCGAAAATATAGACCATGTTTACGGCTTCTTATTCTTAGGAAGTTTTATAACAACCGATGCTACTAAAACCAACGTTATTATCTGAAAAACCGTTATTGCGTCCATCGTTATCAAAACGATTTAATGATGCTGAAGGGAATGGAAAGATCATTTGTAGAGTTTTTTTATACCCACATTGAGCGCTGTAACAATTTAGTGAAGTGGAAATTCTGTAGATAGTCAGAAATTGAATTTTCTGTCGAAATGTCTGATTCAACAAAGGAATGTTACACCTGAAATTAAAATGTGACCTTGCTACCTGCTTGGTTTTCAAAAATCTTATCTGTGAATTATTATGGACAGGTCGTATCAGGTTTGATTACCTTAACTAACAAATGTTATGGCAAATAGAATCGTGAAATCTCCCATTACGAAGATGATATTTATGAGACGAACTGAAGACCCAATAGTTGAATACCAAAGAAAAATGAGACATCCCAAAGCGGTTAATTGCAAAACCAAGCTTTGACATCGATCATCTAACGAGAGTCACCCTCTGTCTCTCACTGCAAGGCAACTAATTGGAACTGGAGCCCAAAAACAGCGCACTCGTGATCCAACACTGAACAATGGCCTCAAAGGTCAAGCCAGAGTAAATGGAGGCGATGACATCTTTCCGTATGAAGACGCCATCTACCGGGGCGATAAAGTTTCAACTAGACAGTTTGATGTCACACTGTTGATTAAGGGTGACTTGGCTTTCTTCCATGTTCTAACGGTGTTCTTTTTTAAATGTTTCGGGAATTAAATAACGCAATGGAGCGTGTGGTCAGAAACCGACTCATATTGATTACCACTCAGACAGAAACCCAAGTTCTAAGGACCTATACAAAGAACTGTCTTTCTGCTACTTGTATTTAAAGAGATTGAATCTCGTGCAGCCTGTCAAAATATTAGGTTCAGTTATTAGTCGATTTACTAGGCATCTCCATCTAAGAAGTGCTCAGAATGCTCTGCTTGAAAGCCGGTATACATTGGAACTACCCTCCCCACTGTAAAATGAAGGCTAACCGAACAACACTCTTAATTTAGACTGACTCAAACGATTCTCCTTTCGCATTTTCCAGAACTAGAAACTAAGATTTGTTCAGCTTCAGCGACTCTCACATTCTCCTTATGTGAATCATTTTTGTGATTAGACATTTCAATAGGTTCTCTGTTGAGGTGGTCATTTTACTGCAGGAACCTGAGTATTCTGGAAGAGTGTGTTCTTGCGTGTCGCAAAAAGAAAAATAAACCATGTCCAACTTGATATACAAGGTGTCGCGGTGCTTCCAAAAAAAAGCAGTGAAATACCTAGGAGCCTAGCTATATACTAAATTAAACTTCGATGAATACATCGAAAGAGTTTCGCAAGAAGGGGAAACAATAGTGACGGTATTTTCCTTCCCCATGTCAAATAAAGGAAAAGTAGAGCAATTATGAGTATAGCCCAGTCTCAAATATTATATGCCGCAGCAGCCTGGCACACGATGACAAGTAACAAAAACTTGTTTTGAAACTTGCCAGCATCTAGCACAAACTACGTATAAGTGTGTGGTCAGTCTATAGAACAATATCTACAGATTGGTTTGAATATTTTTTATAATATTAGACAATAATAATAGTCCGAACTAATGCAATATCTACAGAAGCAGCAGGGGTTAGAGCTGGAAGAATATCTATAGAACTTCTCATTGAAGAAAGGTGAGACAAATACAAAGGGAATGATTGAATAACCGCAAGAAGCAATTTTATCTCACGTTGGCAACACTTGTGGATACACGAAAAATGGGGAAGGTAGAGACATCAGTCGATACCAAACATGGGCGAGTGGACGTGTAAAAATGGTGAAGTGGACTACATCATAACACAAGCAATTTCTGATGGGCACGGTTGCCATAGGAAATACTTGTTCAATCAACTGAGGTCGGAAAGTGAGGACGGTCCATAATATGGAGAAATAATTAATGCAGAGCAGGAATACCAATTAGAAACGGGTTCTCCTTTCGAAAAAAGAACTATGGCAGGATTCACGGTGTTTTGTGAAAATAGATGGAGAAAAGTATATGCAGTGATGAGATTCATTCATTCAAATGAAGAAATGAGAAGACAGAATCAGCTAAAGAACCCAGTCATCTATGGAAAACAGTTATTGAAGTAATGCGCAGGAACTTCCAGCGAGAGGTATTTTAAGCCGGTAAAATTCCAACATACCTCCATGTTATCTATCACCAGGGAAATTCTAAGATTTTTCTCTCTTGCAAAAAAGGTAGTCGCTGTCGAGAGATATCAATTCTCAGTGGAATCAGTCCGAGACCAGCATTTTCTCAATAACCAGGTACCACGCGGGGCTCTGCTAGAGGTGACCAACTCTTCCCTTGCTAAAACAAAAACAAAAACCAATCCCGAGGTTGGACAGAAGTGCTCACCTCAATCTGAGGCGATGGCTGGAGATGAATAGAAATGTCCACCCCAATCTACCGCATGGAATGAGGTTGGACATATCAGATCTCCTCGTGATGTAATACAAAGGCCAAGGCGTAAGCGCATTTGCGGCGCCGAGGCCAAAAGGAGAAAGAGAGTGAAAGAGGCAGGAGTAGCAGCAACTATAAGTGCACCCTCCACCTCCCCCACTCCACCTGCAACAGCAGGACACTTCCTGCGGCGGGCGCCACGAGCTAGGAACCGGCTGCCCCTGCAGGAAAGCTCCCTCACTTGTGCACCTTCATGGAGGGAACCCCAAGAAGGTTGAAGAAGCCGCGCAACGACAGTAATGTCGCTGCACCTTCCAAAACCTTCGCGGAGGCCACTGTGAGACACCTCAAGGTTGCCAAAGAGAGTGTGTGTTTGGCGAGTCTTGGCCAATACCTGCCAATATAAAGCAGATGTCTCTTAGTGACCTGTCCACCTTCCTGGAAAGGATAGGATGGACGATGACATAGGAGAACAACTCCTCGGGAGGATGTTCTATGGGTTACATGTGGCCTAAGTGCTGTGGGTCTCCACACACTCTCCCTATTCTAAAGATATAGATACAAGTGCCACCTACAAATTAGATGGAATGGAATATCATTTTATAGCAAACTCTGATATATATTATTGTGTGTCGCAGTGCTACCGTAAATGAAATTCAATTCACGGAGCATAGATAAATTTCCACTTGTATCTCCTGCCTCCAAGAGTTTGCACTTTTTAATGCTCACCAAGTTCGTTTTTTTATGAATATGTATATACCATACTTATAAACTACAAAAAAGATATTTAGAGATGTAGGTAATTCTTGTAATTTTAAAAGAATACAATTGAAATTAATTTGAAAACTGGAAACCTATGTCACCAATTTCACTCTCTCAATTTATCGCTTTCTATACAGCAAAGTTCAATTTTGGCTTGTTATATCCAAACATCAGCTGTGTTACTTTCAACATTGAAATTCTCTTTCTTCCTTATAATAGGGCGATGTAAAAGGGATTATTCTAATAAGTGGAGAGTAGAGACAATTTTCATAGGACAATTAATTTTCTCGAAAGGAAATTATCCTAATGAAAATATCGGTGTCATTTCGCGTTTCTCTGAAATGCAAATGGGACGTTAGCCATTTTCTTTTTGTTCGAGCGAACGGAAAATTCGTTTTATGATATTAGGATCTTCATGTCTGCTTGATGAATATTTAAAGTCTCGCCTTGTCAGATCTTTGCTAGCTTTCAAAAGATGTAATATGGCACTTCTCACAAAGAATACACAATTTATATGTTTTATAGATCCGTTTTGTAAAGGGCAAATATAGTTTCCCTTCTCTGCATAAGCTACTTTCGATTAAATTTTAAAAAACGTGGATTCGCTTCTGGTACATTTCGTATGCTATACATGAGGGAGTATATTGCCGTGGAGAACATAGCTTTGTGCACGTGGGGGTTTCTCTACACTTACTAAAAATTACATCAACATAAATTCCTGTCCATCACTTTGAAGTGTTTTATTGGAGGAATCGTCAGTAATAGTTATTGTAATCACCAGGAGAAAGATCTATACTTGTCCCTTGGAATATAAGTATATTTAAATCGATTACAATATACCCCTTTCGATTTGAACGATGAATAGATAACTAATTAAAAATGTTTTTTTTTTTCAGAAAAGTTACTGTTTTGTCAATCGGCACTCGAGTGAGTTTGGAATTGTTTCTGTGAAGCAAAGCATAGTTAACGCAAGTTTGAACTTCAAATAAAAATAAAACACTCAACTTCCACTTTGACACTCTAGTTACGTGGTCCTAGTTAGTTCCAATCATTCAATTCCCCTATATGTATATCAGTGATATTTCAAAAAGAAACTGACTAAAGCTTATGACGCACTGTTTGAAACCTTTGGTGTAATAATGAATATTACTGGAGTTTTTTTCTAACACCAAATCGTTATTTTTTAACACCTCGACACGTGTTTCGATCACCAAGTGATCATCTTCAAGAGGAAGATTAAACTTCCAATCACCAAGTGATCATCTTCAAGAGGAAGATTAAACTTACTCTTGAAGAAGAAGATTAAACTTCCTATTGAAGATGATCACTTGGTGATCGAAACACGTGTCGAAGTGTTGAAAAATAACGATTTAGTGTTGGGAAAGAGCTCCAGTGATAATGACTAAAGCTTGTCGCCCACTTGTCTGGCACAACACGGCCCGTTTCGTCAAAATACGGATAGTATTGGAACAATGAAAATGAGTGGACAACCGCCCACTAGCCCGGCACGGCACAGCCAAGAGGGTCCGCCGCCGGAAAGGATTCCAGCTCTCCGATCCTGTCCGGCAAATAACGGTACGTGCTGTGACGGACTGGCCAAGTGAGCGTGTTACCGGCCAGCGCTTGCCAGCATCAACTTGTCCAAAAGTGCCTGGGAAGTTTCTGCCTCTCTGTTTTGCT